CACGAGAGTTGGGATGAGAAGAGACGAGTCGAGCACACCTGTTGTGCGATGAGAGTTGAAACAGCAAAAAGAAACTGAATGAGAAAAAGTAGAAACGGTACAACAAAGTTACTACTTAAATACAATCTCAATTAGGTTTCGATTAGGTTACAACTGTGACTATCATTACACAACCGGATGCCGAGTATGCTTATACTGAGGTAACTTCAACACCCCCCCTTGCTCAAAACCGGTTGATGTTGAGCTTGATAATAGAGTCGACGTGCTTTTTCTTTGGTAGTGCTTTGGTGAGAAAGTCGGCGAGTTGATCGTTTGTTGGAACGTATCGGGTTTCGGCAGTGCCTTCATTGATGAAGTCTCTGATCCAGTGATACTTGATTGGAATGTGCTTGGTGCGTTGTTGAAACATCGGATTGTTGGCGAGTGCGATGGCGGATTGATTGTCAACCATGAGAGTGAGTTTGCCCGAGAGAGTTAGGCCTAGAGATTCGATAAGGATTAGAAGCCACTTCGCCTCTTGAGCAGCTTCGAAGAGAGAGATGTATTCCGCCTCCGTAGTCGAGACCGCGACCACCGGTTGTTTGCGTGAACGCCATGAGATGACGGACTTGTTGAGCGTTGCAATGTAGCCTGAGTACGAGCGACAATCCCCTTTGTCGTTTGCCCAATCAGCATCCGAGAATACTTTCAACTCGTAGGTAGGAGACCTGCCGTCGAGCAATATGCCGTGATTGCGAGTGCCTGCGAGATATCGCATGAGATGGATAACTGCTCGCCAGTGGGTGATGCCTGGCGACTCGAGATGTTTGGAGAGCTGGGATAGGGTAAAAGCGATGTCAGGCCGAGTGCATACTGCCAGATACATCAGCATGCCAATCGATCGCCTATAGTTGGCCCCCACTTGCTCGAATTGCTGTCGTTCCACTGGAGTAGCGCGAGCGAGCTGGGTGTTAGGGACCATTGGGACTGAGGTCGGCCGAGCATCGGACAAGTTGTGATCGTCAAGCACTTTGGCGAGGTATACTTCTTGCGAGAGGTAGAGCTGCTTATCGTCGATGCGCGAAACTTTGACACCAAGCAAGTGTTTTAGCTCGCCAATGTCGTCCATCTTGAAGCGCGCCGAGATCAGACTTTTGAAGCGTTGGACGTCAGGACTGATGATGACCATGTCGTCGACGTACACATGAACAAAGCATTCCCAACCGCTCATCTTGCTAATGAACAAACAGGGATCGGCCGGCGAGGGTTCGAAGTTGATCGACGTAAAGAACCGGGATAAGGCAGCGTACCAGACACGAGGAGCCTGCCGCAGACCATAGATCGCCTTTTTCAATCGAAGGCAGTGACCGGCAGGGACGGACAAGCCCGCAGGAGGACGAAGGTAGACTTCTTCCTCGAGCTCTCCATTGAGAAAAGCGTTCTTGGCGTCCATCTGATGAATCGCATGCCCTTTTGAGAGACCAGCGACGATTGCGGTGCGAAGTGCGGCAAAGCGACCAGTGGGAGCGTAGGTGTGAAGTATGTCCTCGGCGGCTTGAAGAGACCCCTGAGCGCAAAGACGAGCCTTAAATTTGGACACGGCCCCGTCTTCGTTGAGTTTCTTGCGAAATACCCAGATGGTACCCAACAACCGCCGACCGATGGGAATCGGGACAATCTCCCAAACTTCGAGGTCGATCATCGCTGAGAGTTCGAGTTCGACAGCCGCCCTCCATTGCGCCGCTTCAGTCGATGCCATGGCTTGATTGTACGTCTGAGGAACACCGACTGAGATGAAGGCTGTTGGATGGATGCCGAGATCTGGTAGAAACTCATCAAGCATGAGTCCGTCGAAGTGGTCGAGAATGGCCATGTTTGCTCGTCGCTTGTGAGTAATGATGTTGGCAGGATCAATATCTGACGAGATGTCTTTCGAGGCCTTGACTGGAGCCAGTACGATATCCCATCCCGGTCGCGGCCGGGGATTTGAGGTTGAAGAGGGTTCGGGAATGGGATCGGGAGCACGGTTTGGATTAGGATCGATCGGATCAACGGATTCTTCCGGATCGACATATATTGAGTCATCATCCGACTGATCAATGTTCCGGCTGGGATGGAGATCAGAGTGTGGAAGCGCCGATGCCTCCAGTTCTTGGAACTCTTGAGGATCTGGCATTTCGGCGCCGTCTGAGGTATCAGCTGAGGAGAGAAGGGAGACTCCTGGGAACTCCGCTTCGTCGAAGGTGACATCATGGCAGCGCTCGACCTTCCCTCCTGGAAGTAGAATGCGCCAGTTGTGCATTCCCAGTTGATACCCGACCATTATACCTTCTTTAGCTGTGTCACCAAACTTGCCATGACGTAATTTGTCGGGGATGTTGGGAAAAGCTTTGCAACCAAACGGGCGAAGCCGAGAGGTGTCAAATTGAGAATCAAACCACAGCTCATAAGGTGTTTTCCATCGGAGTGTGCGCGTTGGGGTAATATTTTCGAGAAATACCGCAGTAGATACGGCCTCTCCCCAGTACTCTGCCGGCAATCTTGCCTGCTTGAGCAATGCCCGGGCCTTTTCACTTGTCGTGCGATTTCCTCTTTCAGCCACTGCATTCTGTTGCGGCGTGTAAGGAGCAGTCACGTGGATAGTAACTCCTTTTGATTTCAGGAATGAGGTGAATTCTTTAGAATTAAATTCTCCTCCTCCATCAAAGATAACCGATTTGATTGGCCGATCATGCAAAGTGGTGACATTGTTGTAGTATTCAACAAATTTCGAAAATGTTTGAGATTTAGACGAGAGTATAAAAACATGACGGTATCTAGTGAACCAGTCGGTTATTTTGAAGTAGTAAAGCCCCCCTCCACATGAAGCAGGAGTAATTTTCCCGCTGAGATCCATGTGGACTGATTCAAGTGGGTGGGTTGCTTTGGGTAGTGTAGAAGGGAATACAAGACGATGAGATTTAGATAATGAGCATGCATCACATTTGATTTTGGGCAGCTTGATTCCGTACATCCTTCTCAGTGCGTCGTCGCTGCAGTGTCCGGCGCGTCTATGGAGTAATTCAGCGTCAGTGATGGTTGATATTCGAGCTACCGGAGGCAATGACTGACCTTCGTGAGTCGGAACGATGTGAACCATGCAAGTGCCGCCGATAATTGAAGCCTTGAAGATGACTTCACCTTCACGAACTAGAACGAATGATGACTTTCCGGTCCGTTTGATTTCGCACCCTCGTTCATAGAGTCTTCCCAAGCTGATCAATGTCGCGCTGAGTCCAGGCACGTGAAGAGCTTTCATCGGGATTATTGAGTTATTCTCGGCTCGGACGTTAACGAATCCTTTGCCTTGAACCTCAATGGTGTTACCGTCGGCGAGCTCGACATGACTGATTTTCTGTTGATAGTTTTTGAATAGCGACTTGTCGGTGAACATGTGGTGGGATGCCCCACTGTCGAGATAGCATAAGTTAGGAGTACTTATTGCTGCAAAGGCCTTGATAGTGCATCGAAGACCGTTTCCAGTGGATTGAGAATCGCCGGCATCTGAGTTTTCAGCCTGTGCCTTCTTCGCAGCCGCTCGTATGTTGGCAAGATGCCGACACTCGCTCTCGGTGTGTCCAGATTTAGGATTGTGCTTTCCGCCGGTACACCATTCACGTCTCTTGGATTTGGACTTGTTCGATGATGAGGAGGCGGTGAGAGCCGTGTCTTCAGACTTGATAGTGACCGACCCGGAAGCTGAGACATCGAGTCGTTTGTTGTTGAATGTCTCTTGAACAACGGCGATAGTGAGTGGTCTCATTGAGTGCAATAGTTCTTTGGTGGTGTCATATTTGGATGGAGCCTTAAATACGATGTTTTCAGCAACAAATGATTCGGTGATGTGCCGATCTTCGCCTTCCATTTTGATTCCAACGGAAGCCATAAGCTTGAGGTGCTGGTCGACTAGCTCAAGGTAGGCAGTGAGATCGCTTCCCTTGTACTCGAATGTGCAGAAGTCGTTGTAAACTCGAGCTTGATTGCCGGGGGTTTTGGCTTCGAAGTAGTCTGTCAATAGCTTCCAGAGTGCGACAGGATCCTCGTCGTTCTTCTCGGTAACAAATCGATTATAATTTGTTACCCCCATGTTTGAAACCAGTATACCAGCCGTCTTGGATCTGTTCGTCTGGTATACTTCGAGTGCTGCAGCTTCGGTTGGTTCGACCTTGAGTGTCAGATATTTTCGCAAACCGAGTTGTTGGCAGTAACCGATCACTTTTTGCTTCCAAGCGCCAAAAGTCGTCTTGGAAAGATCGGGGATTTGATTTTTGGTTTCAGACATCCAAACCAAATAATCCACTTAAAATTGGAAAATTTGGCAAGAGTTTCGGTCTGTGAGAGGTACCTTAGCAGATCTGAAATCTAGGAGCCTCTGCTGTTTACAGCCCTTGACATGAGCTCTCTTTATACCCTCGACCACGACTTTTCCTGGTCCGAAATCCTCCTCCGAAACTATACTTTTCATCCGTTTAGATTGTTTCTTTTCCTTAATTGGATTCACTTGAACTAGCTTTTGTTGTCATCCTGAACTATCAAAATTATACCTTTCCTCGTTTTATATAATTTTTATTTATTATTCCTTAACCGGCCTCAACAAACCCCCTTTCCTGGCAATGAAACCCTCATCCTTACTCGAAACCTATACTTTTCATCCGTTTATATTATCTCTTTTCCTTAACCGGACTCCTTGAAATAGCCTCTGTCCATGTCCTCGAACATGTCTTTCTTTGGTGCGAAACCCAGTTGCGAAAATTATACTTTTCTCCATTTATATATTTTTTCTTTCTTATTCCTTAATCCGACTCACAAAGTTAGACTTTCCTGGCCAGGAAATGCTCTTTCACAAATTCTACTTTTCTTCCGCTTATAGTATTCCTTGATTTTTTAAGCCTACTCTTACCCTTTTCTATTGTGTCATTCTAGCACCTTTAACCACAATTCCGTAATCCGGAACAGCACTAACAATAATGCCTAATTCAACCTCTTCACTAACCGCATCTACCTCTCACCTCAATTAAATACCTATACAATCTTTCCTGACCATTTGACATCAGCACCCTCTATAGTTACAGTCAATTATAATATCTCATCCCATTTCCTCATCGCAACGCAAATCCATTCCCTAAACTCAGTCAATCTTCTTCTATTATCAACAGCATGTCTCTTCCTACCGACTTCAATCTCATCATCAATTCAAATCCTTCCATTCACGGCTGGGTTGTGATTGACAAAACCAATCCTGAGTTAATAGTTTGTTGTGCTAATCGTTCAGCGGTACGTCAAGTACTCTCAATCTTCGGAACGCCCTAACTAACATTCTTGTAGAATTTCTCCGCTGTCCTCATTTTTCCGGAGGGGACTCCCAACATCCCTCCAACTAATATCGAAGTCGGCCAAAAGATATGGATCATGGGACATATTTTCAAACATGAACAAGATCTTGTTTACGTTGCAGTTAGTCATTTCTCAACATAATTTTTCCTCTTTCTTCAAAATTCGTTCAGATAATTAATCAACGCTATTGATGTATTTAGGCTACTACTGTCTTTTTCAACTCTGCCGATACTCCACCTATATTCATCTGAAATTTCTAAACTCGGTCTCACTCTTTGTGCAAACCAATTACATACTTTGCCTGTGTCTCGAATAACTTTTCATTTATTTTACTACACATATTGTATCTAGAGCTCTCAGCTTTGCTTATTAGCCCGTCTCTTCTTTCCTATTTCGACATTTACTCCTTGTCACTTAACCTCTTTACTAGCGTTTGGCGAGAACAAGGACCGTGGTTCGCCGCTTTCATCATAAGCAGCGCGATCAACTACATCCTACATGATTGCCCTTTTCCAATTGCAAAGCATCGACATAAATAGTGATGCACTCGCCCCTCAGTTTTGCTCCCACTCATCTCCTCTTCAACAGCTTGTTTACTGCTTACAATAGCACTGTTACTCAACCTTTCCTCAACATGATTGAAATTGAGAGTTGCATTTATGTTCCTGAAGAACCTCCATTTGTCGATCGACAACACTATCGCATTCAAGACTCAACTCCCTGGGCTTGTACCGACGCCACAATGGTCCCTATATTAGGACATCTCTTTGATGTCTATACTTCTGCTCCTCGCGGTGACTCCGATAATGCTGCGTCTTGGTTAACGTTTCAGGGCCGCTGCATCGCTCGCTATTCTGAGCCAAACATAGCCATTTTGTGCAACTCCTCATCGTACCATAACGAGATTCCACATCGACATCGACGTATACCATACCCTATCGTCAGAGGCTACCTTAAAGTGCTTGACCAAGGCGTCAACTGTCTCGCTTTAGACCCCGATGTTTCCGACGTTAGTTAAATCTTTTCTTTTCCAACGAATTCCTCTTCTAACTAATGTGTTTCAGTCTGTTCTATTCCGGTTCAGCTCGAAATCCTCAGCTATTCAAAACTCGCTCGGTGAACTAAATCCAGGCCAAATAGTCTACGTCTCAGCATATCTCACTAAACATTTGACCGGTATTGTAGATCTTGAAGTATGCCTTTACTTATACCGACTTTTTAACTTTCTAGGCCGGTGTTCTAACTGCTCTGAATCTCTTCCGGCTAAATTTAGGTCTCCACGGTTTACATCTCTTAACTTTGTCTCAACATGTTGTGAACTCATTAAGGCCCGTCATTGTTAAATTATGCTCTATCTCTGTCATACTTTGATGGATGTCTCTGTTCCTCTCTGTTGTTCAACGTAAATAAAACCTCTACGCTGTTTTGTTTATTTCATTTTTTCTACATCGCCCTGTACTTTGCAAAAAAGTCAGCTTGTAAATACAAACACAAGACTCTGTATGGTTCGATCAGAATCTGTGTGTTTATTTCCTTTTTTCCACATCGCCCTGTACTTTGCAAAAAAGTCAGCTTGTAAATACAAACACAAGACTCTGTATGGTTCGATCAGAATCTGTGATAAATAGATTACAGAATCTGTGATAAATAGATTACAATTTCAGTTGATCTTTTTGCATCCTCTACCAAAAAATAGGGTAACTTCCTCTTTTGGATTCGAAAGCCTCCGCAATTCGTAAATATATGGGCTGACTCCAAACATTAATTCAGCCGCACTTGTTAATTATTCCTGAATTTCTATACTCTTGACTGTTTCTAAATTGACATAACTTATTCAAGACTCATCCCTAAGATTTACCCGGTGCATTGAGCTTCGCGCTGAGCTTCAGTGCAATTGTCGAATGCAGCCTTTTCTATACTCAACCTATTCCGGCACATTCCCTCGCCTCAGACTAATCAACAATCAACCAAAGATTACCCGGTTCGTCATCTGTACTGGTCTATCTCCTCACGCCTAATCTAATATTAGCTTGAACTAAATTCCATTTTTGATCTCGCCAAGACTCCAAGATAGTTATACCTTGCCTCTGGCCTGTTGATCAGCTGGTCTATAAAAGGCCTGATCTAAATCTCAACTCAAGCCAAAAAATAATTCCTCCCCTCTCAGTTCTCTTTCAACTCATCTGTTCCTGAATTTTATCCCGCTGCTGACACATCCAGTTTTCAATAACCACCTATCCTTAGCCTCAACCTCAACCTCAAGTGCAAAAGTTGACACAACCTCTCCCTTTGCCTCGACACCATTTTATCTCCCGTGACTTAACCTCAACTTCGTTCTCTTTATATATCCGTGCATCAGAATGTCTACCCTCAAAAAATTCAGTCATCCTATGTTAACTAGGACGATCGCTGATATTTTTGAACATGTAATGTGATTCTTCCTTGTGTCAATGTCCATTTTTTGACACTTACCTTTTCGGCACTTGACCAGCTTGAACAATTAATTGCTGCAGGATCAACCTATGGACAAATGTATTATTCGACATCAGTCCCCTTCCTTGACTCCTGTACTAAGGAAGAGAAGAATCTTCTGATTAAATTATGCGGTTACGGATCTGCCGCAACTGGATTAGTTGATAGTCATCTGTATTCCATTTCCGGAAAACTCATCGCGCCTAACTCAAAATCAACCCCTGTTCTTCACTTCGACACTGATACTGTCATTGAATTAGGTCTGACCGCTAACATCCCCACTTCCATGGCTGACAGAACCTCTGTCGTTGGCCTAGGAATTGTCGTATCGAAAAAAGAAGTAACTGATCCAGAATCATCTACTTCATCCAAAAATCTGGTGGTTATTCTTCAACATACCGATTATGACCCTGTGGTCAGTTTCCCACTTTGTTCTTTCATTGCGTATCACGTCTGACAGGAATTATTCTCAGGTTAAGGCTCAGGTTCAATTCAAGACTCAGTACATCATCGGTGGGAGGAAAAACTTAGCCAACACTTTCGGCTTGTTTCAACTGGGGCGGGAAATTTTAATTTCTGGGCACATTACTGGATATGAACATCATCAGTTCATGTGGATTGTGACCGTTAGTAATTCCCTAAACAAACCCTTCATGAACCAGACTTGACTGAATATGTTCCTCCTCAATTCATACTTAGGCGATATCTGTATCGGTAACTGTTGGACATCAACCTATTAACAGTCAGGCCCTCATTAACACTCAAGTGAGCGACACAAAACCAAGGCGTCCTGGACTGTACGTCTTTTGATCTATTAGCTTTCACACGCGATTTACTCATCTCTTTGCGTGAAACTAGAATCACGGTTGGTGAAGATTTGTCTCAACCTCAGTCTGAGTGCAGTGTTGAGGCACAAGTCTTAGCCAGTTCCAGCTGTACACTTGAAGGAGCCGATGCCGATCCAGTCCAGAATCAAGGAGCTAAATTAGGCACAAGTAACAATTATTACGATAGTGTTGCTTCGACATCTGGCAAAAAAAGGACTAAAAAAGAAATCTTGGCCGATGCAAAGCGAGCCCGGCTTAACATCAGCTCTGCCTGACCCATTGATTGTCAACGAGCATCTTCAGGGCTCGATCATCTAGACTTTAACTCAATTCACCGATCAAATATGTGTGCTTAAACATTCGTTACAGACCGAGGAGTCAACGTCAACTTTTATCATCTTCCGCCTCTCATGTATTTGTATCTCGACCATTCTGCACTGTGCAGATAATAGAACTAGGACATGCTGATTCAATGTCTGGATGACCCGTTGTGTACTGTAATCTGCTGTCGACCTTGCTTTGCTATTATTAATCCTACCTCTTTGTATATAGAATAAGACATTCATCTCCTCCTAGCAATTCATAGTAATTGTTCTGATCTTGATCGGGATTGTTCCAGAGCAATCAGTGCTAATAACTCGAGCAACAGAAACCTCTTCTAAAATGATGCGTCAGCTTAACTGAGTCCTGAGGTAAGGCCAAAATGGTCAAATTAAGAGCGAGGAATTTTTGAGTCTTGAACGTCCGGATAATAAAGAGGAACCACAGTACAAAAAGTTGGAAGTTGAACTCACCACTCAACTCAGACGTCAAGGTTCATGTGATTCAGTCGCATCCTGCCTTGACCGGTTCATGTCAAGCACACCAAGTCTATCATATTCACTTACATATCAATCTTCCCTAAACCAATTCATCTTGTGAGGGGTTCTTTAGCCACAAGGTAATTCCTGCAGAAGATAATATAATAGATCCCTACCTCTTTGTATATAGAATAAGACATTCATCTCCTCCTAGCAATTCATAGTAATTGTTCTGATCTTGATCGGGATTGTTCCAGAGCAATCAGTGCTAATAACTCGAGCAACAGAAACCTCTTCTAAAATGATGCGTCAGCTTAACTGAGTCCTGAGGTAAGGCCAAAATGGTCAAATTAAGAGCGAGGAATTTTTGAGTCTTGAACGTCCGGATAATAAAGAGGAACCACAGTACAAAAAGTTGGAAGTTGAACTCACCACTCAACTCAGACGTCAAGGTTCATGTGATTCAGTCGCATCCTGCCTTGACCGGTTCATGTCAAGCACACCAAGTCTATCATATTCACTTACATATCAATCTTCCCTAAACCAATTCATCTTGTGAGGGGTTCTTTAGCCACAAGGTAATTCCTGCAGAAGATAATATAATAGATCACCACCTCAAGCTGGGACTCTGAATAAAAAAAAAAAAAACTCCGACTATGGGAATTGAACGCTTGACATTGGGATTAGGCTTATGATTTCAAGAGGTCCTCCGCTTTCATCTGTTGTGTGACATGGCTGGCATCAGTATGGTAATGCTTTGTCACTGGCTGTTCACTTCTTGGCTAGAGTCTGCCCTCGGCATGGGAATCTGGAGAAGTGTCATGGTCCCTGGCTCGTTAGCTGGGATTGTTTTTTATAGAAATTTTCGTTTTGACAACCTCTCCTGGTTCATCACGCAATTCCTAATCAGGACTCGCTTCACGACCTGTTCAAATTATTTGCTCTTCAATCCAGGCCTTTGTTCATTCAAAAAAATCGATAAACATGACATGACTCATTATCCTCATTGGTCGACTCCCTGGTTTCATCACTTTGGACTAACGCCTTGCCGTTTCTACATTCGTCGTGGATACCAGTCCTTTTTTCCTCCTTTTGCCTATTCTAGTGGTCTACCTGGACCAATGCTCTGCTCTACCATTCCGATATTC